CTTTCAATCTGGGATGGATGTTAAGGAAAAGGGATCATTGTCTTCTGAACCCCAGTTTTAACAAAGTCTGTACACAAACATTTCCCTTCTTGGTAACCGGTGTCCCACCAGGCATCCTCATCAGTAAGGCGGGAAGGCCCCTCCTTCCCCACGCACGGGCTGACGTGTCTGGCCAATCCCATGATAGCACGAATGTGCTATATTTGCTTTGTCCAAAACAGCAGCCACTAGCTTCACGTGGCTACTGAGTACTCGCAGCTACTGCAACCTGAGGGGCTGAAATTTAGACAGCCAACTCCAGAACCTAAGCTCAAAGAAGGCAAGAGTATTCTATCTTGTTCGCCGCCGTTTGCTCGGCACCGAGTACAGTGCCTGGCACTCAACCACATACTCATTTTAAAAAAGGGTTGTTCAAAGAATAAATTAATTCTTGTACAGCACCACCCCCAAAGCAAAAGTAACTATTCCCCTTTCCCCGTCCCCTCTCTCCCATATACATGTCAGTCCTTACAGCTGTCATATTCATACCCTTCCCTCGCTCTAGACTACAGGAGAACTTTGAGAAGGGAGGCTGTGCCATTTGCCTTCATGCCCGAGTACTCAGCACAGAGCTCGTGTGCAGTCAGGGCTGGTGACTTACAGCACGGGGTGGGGAAGGACGGACCCACAGGCATTCTGTCTGCTGGTGGTCCTCCAAACCAAGAGATGGAGCACCGTTTTTGCCTTTTCGGATGCGGCCTTTCCCGAGACACAGGGACAAAGACGCAGCCAAGAAGTGCAGTTACCTCCACTAGCTGTAAACTAGGCCTGGCACTTCCACTTGCCAAACGGAGTGGAAAAGAATCTGAGAGCAAGAAGCCACACTCCCCTTCCCCTATGTGCTCCCTTTGAGAGTCTCCTCGGCACACTCAGGTAACGTCCTTCGTCTCCACGGTTTTGCGGCCGCCGCCTTCCTGTGGGCCTGGAAGACCTGCCCCACTGGCTTTCATTTAAAGGCGACCTGATTAGACACAAGAGCCCATCTCACTTGCAGACTGGGGGCCTGGAATTTTCAAGAAGCCTGTAACTCACATTTCTCCTGGCTCACAGACGACAGCATTTCAAGCCGTCAGTCCTGGAGCCGGGGTAATTGTAGCTGGGGGAAAAATCATAACATTACCCAGAATATTCTTAGTGGAAGGGGCACTCAGAATACAGTTAAGAGCTTAAATGGAGGCCATTTGAAAAAAGACAGATGGACAGGAACACTTAGATTTCAAAAGTCAGGCCTTTCATTTCCCTCAGAGAATGCTTTTTGTTTCAGCTAACAGGTTTCAAACAGTGCTGCTGGCAACGGTCACACCATAAGGATCTTATTTAAGCAAACGATCAAACACAGTTAGGATGGAAATGTGTGGAGAAAATCAGAAGACCTTGAAGTTTTATATCAAGAAGGGGAAAGAGAGGAGAAAAGTCCTGTGCCCTGACACCCCAGCTGAGGTCCCCCAGGCCCCTCTTTGGTGCCTGAGGAACGCAGGCGGGAGTTGGCAGGGAGGTCTGGAGGTGGACAGGTACCAGGTCCCTGGGGAAGCCTGGCCTTGCCATTGATGTGGAAATGATCTAAGCCTTCCACAGGCTGGTGGGGAACAGCTGCCTTACACAAGAAAGCTGGGGTTTTCAGGCAGAAAAAAGAAACGTAATGACAACACTGATTAAGAAAGACTCAGCTAAAGGATCACCTCTTCCAGGAAGCCTCCTCTGAGCCCTGTGCCTGGCGAGGCTGCTTCCTATGGTGATGTGTTCCCTGGTCTGTCGGACCACTTAGCACCTCGTGGATCTCTCTCGAAGGGCCAGCGCACTCACTTCCCCGGAGGCTCCCAGTGAGGAATGGACCTGGCCCTATGCCCACGACCTATATAGTGACTGGTCCTTCAAGGCTGAAGTACTCCACCTCAGGGCTGCCTCACCACCTCCACGCCGGGGACTCCCACACCTGCATCCCCATTGCCACCTAGACCTCTAGCCTCTCCACAGCCTACTGGCATCTCCACTTTCATCTAATGGCATCCTGAGCTTACTATGTCCCCAAACCAGCAACTCCAAGTCTTCTTCGCTTCAGTAAACAGTGACCCACCCATCTTCTAGCTGCTCGGGCCCAAAGCCCTGCAGCCACCCTTCACACCCCACCTACCTACAAATGCTGCTGACTCAACTTTCAAAACTTACTCAAATCTGACTACTGTTCACCATCTCTGTTCTAGTCTCCAGTCTGGCCTGGATTAGGGCAAAATACAATCTCTACCTAACTTCGATCTGAAGCTAGAAAAGGGACATGATTATAAAACAATTGTCTATAGTCTCTTCAAAATGTCAGTATTAATTAAATCTTTGTTATTTACATCAAGTTCTGTGCTATTTAGCACTTCGTGTTGTTCCTTTTAATTTTTTCAATAACTCTGTGCTTTGTCTCATTACCCGCAAGCAGGCCTTCAAGGCCCTGCACACTCTGCCCCCGCCACGCCTTTGACCTCATCTCCCACCCTCCTCGGCCCCTCACTGCTCTCTCTCTGGCCTTCCCACGGGCTCGATCCCGACCAGCTCAGCTCTACCCAGGGCCTTTGCACCCATGACATGCTTCTCTCAGACCTAACTTTTTCCATCAGGACTGAACTTTTTCCATCCTTAAATCTCGTTTCAAACATTCCCTCTAACAGAAGAGCCTTCTCTGTCTATCCGTCCCATCTCCACCGTCCTTTCTATTTTCTTTATTCACTTTCACAGTCTATGTCATTTATACATTTGCTCATTATCTGGCTTTCTCACTAGGATATAAGCTCCACAGATGAGCAACTTAGAATAGGGCCTGGCGTATGCAGTACATGTCTATAGAAAGATGTTACTGAGCATGCTGTTTAAAGAATGAATACTAGTATATCCATTTTTCTCTATGTGAGAAAACTTAAAGACCAAAGATAATACGTTTGTCGAAGTCCCCACTGCTACAGCAGGCAGTGCTGGTTTGGAGCCCATGTCCGCTGACTCCAGACAGTTCTTCCTATTTCACTTCTCTGACCTTGACCCCGCTCCCAAAAAAGAGCATTAGGCTGAAGCTTCAACACTCAGCCCAGGTTCTGTAGGCCCTAAATAAACCTAAAAAAGACTGCGTTCCTCCACCATTCTTCAAGGCACTGACTATAGCAATCCGTCGCAGAAATTCTAGACTGCTTTAGGGAGTCCCAATCTTTTTTGATAGGAAGAACTCCTAGACACCCTTAAAAAACTAGCTCAGACATCACTTCCTTCAGGAAGTCCTCCTGGAGTCAACCATGGTCTCTTCTATGCTACCCTCAAATCCCAAATAAGCTTGGCACTGGCTGTTTGAATTACATCATACAGTAATCAGCTACTGGGTACATCTCGTGTTCTAAACCAAGTGATCGCCCAGAGTAGGGACTAAGTCAACTTAATTATTTACAGCCCTCAGCGTAGTGATGGAGAGAGAAAGGAGAGATGTGTATTTGTTTGACAAGGCTGCACTGAAATGTTCCTTAACCTCGCAAGCACTCCCTGTGCTCAGGATCTCCGTTACGTCCACACCTTGTTACTCCGCCCTTTGAAGGACTTAATGAATTACAATGAAACAGCTCATTGTTCTGTAATAACACCCCTCCCATTAGACTGTAGGCTTCACCAGTGCAGGGCCTTTTGTTCACCGTTCAATTTCCAGTGCTTATTGGAGACACTCCATAACATCTATGGGGTGGCTGCATGAAAGGAAAAGAAGGCGGGAGGAAGAGAGGGAGGACGGACTAGCAGAAGGACAAATGTAAAGAAGGCTGAAGGGCTGTCGGCCTGTTTGGCGGTCCCCGTGCTGCTGCAGCAGGTGCTCACCTATAGGAGTCCCCATCTCTGTTGTAGTCACACAAAAGGTAATCCTTTCCCACCACCTTGTCTCTGGCGATTTTCAGTGGCTGGTCAACAGAAGACAGGAGATCTTCACATAGACTGGGAACCTGGCAGAGAGAAAGAAAAAGGCAGAAACAGGGGTTAAAAAAACACATCCGATCGAGGCTGGCTCATGGCAACTGCGGCCAGATCACGGTCAACATATTTAACATCTGGCCCTTGGTACCCTGCCAGAATTATGGGCCTGTTCTTTTCTTTTCCACATGTGTCTGACACCAACTGTGTCCCTCTATAAAGAAACTTGTTCTTGGATTACAGCGGAGCGTGATTTCCAACACAGTTTTCCGTCCAAATCTGCGTGCAGCTTTAATTACCTGGTCGCCAGGGTGGTCTAGTACATTTAAGTGTGTATATGCTTGGTATTGGTCTCTGGTGGGCAAACTATAAGCTGAAGTCCTGAGAAGAAGGTAAACATTCAAAATACATGGGATCCACAGAGCTCTGAGAAGAGTAACTGGCCCCCGGCAGAGAACTCGCGCAGGCTCCCACGCTGGGCGGGGTTTCCAACACCTTCCGGGCCCCCGGCCAAGCATTACCAGGTTGGCTTGTACAGTCAACCTTACCTGCTGCAACGGGAGCATCACAGCAGCTTCCCACAGTGCGAAGCTCCAGCTAGCTAGTCTCAGGGTGACCCACCCGGGGCCGCCTCACTGAGGAGGAAGACCCCTTGGTCTGGGGCAGCCAGGGCTGGCTCCTACAGTGAATGCTGCCGAATGTGACACAAGGCCCTGCTAGTAACCAGGCTGCTGGCCTTCTCCTCCCAAATCAAACATCAGTTTCCACCAAAATATTCCAGGAAGGGATGGCAGCGCTTTCAAAAATTGGATTCCTTCAGGCTTGAGTCACTTCCATGCTATATTTTCAATGTGCTGACTTATTCGTTTCATGGGCCTGGGTTTATGGAGGCCCCACCATATCGTTTAGCAGGCAAGTGGCTGCCAACTGCACCAATAACCCTTCCAAATGGAAAAGTTAAATCATGTGGCAAGGACACCCAGAAGAGCAGCTCGGCAGGGGAGCTGACAGCTACAGCAGTTCCGTGTCCCTCCGGAAGACCCTGCCACCATTGGAGAGATGGACGGATGGAAAGACACTGCCACCTCAGGGACTACCCAGCCTCGTCGGCTTCCCCAGGCACCTCTGCTGACCCCTCGGGTCCTTCAGAACTCAGCTTGTAGGGAAGGCCCTGTCTGGCACAACCATAAGGCGGTTCCCTTGTTCTGTAGCTCACATCAATTCTGGCCCTTGGTACCCTGCCAGAATTATGGGCCTGTTCTTGTGAAATGACTCCTTCCTTATACATGGAGCAGGCTCAGTCATCCAGCCCCCAAGAGACATACTCACTGCTAACCCCTGGATACAGCCTGGTTATTTTCAGAATCCCTTCTCCATGCAAAACTCTCCTGTGTGCCCCTCTCTACAGGCAGACAGAAACAAAAATAGGGCTATTTTTATTCTCAAGTGGGGCTATTTTCAGTTAGTTTTGGTGGTGATTGTATCAGCGCCCCCCACCCCCCGCCATCTCCAAGGATCTACGGTATATCATGCGCTAGGCTAGGTAGGCCCTTTATATCGGCATATCGTCTACTCTAAGCTCACTCTCATCCTGTGAAGTCGTTACGTATTAACCCCATTTTACAGGTTTGAGAAGTGAGACTCGGAGTCATTAAGGTGCCCAAGGCCCGCGCAGCAAACAAACAGCAGAGATAGGCATCTCCCCTTCTGCCTGTGACACTGGTTTAAGAAACAGCTAAGAGGAAGAACAGTGCATGCCAAAGGCACACTCTGGTGGAAATAACTATTTTCCCATCCCCACCCCTGCTCAGCTATGGATATCCAGAGCCTGGAAGAAAGTCCTGGCCAAGGCAAGGAAGATTTTAAAAGCTTCCACCCAAAATAGCTGGCATCTGGAAGTGGGCTTGCTTTCCTGTTGCTGGGCCAGTGAAAATGGCCCCAAGGACCCCATGTACCTGCCTATCATGCCCCGGTCCTTCCCTAAGCGTCACTATTTATTCCGTTGGCTGCTGCCTTGGCTTACCTGTTGGGCCCTGACTTTTGTCTAGAACCCATTCTAACTGGTTAAGGCCCTGACATTAATGGCCCAATTTACCCTGGATTATGGTAGAGACTAAGAAAGCAGGCTCTGAAATTAGACTTCCTGGACTTATGTCCCTGGTTAAGTTGTTTTATTTCTCTAAGACTGGACCTCCTCACCTGTAAGGTAGGGATGATAAAAGCCAACCCACTGTGATTTTGCAGATTACATGAGATAATGCATCGGTCTTCAGTGTAGTGCCCAGCATAGGGGAAAGCATGCACATTAGCAGCTGATACATTCATACCCGTTTCCTTCCTTTGTATTCAATATCACCCGCTGTCCCTTATTCTTAGATGATCAGCTTAGATCACACCATAATTCACCACCTTGCTTCAGGCACTGGAGAAAAACGGACCCCTGAGAACCCAGTTCTTCTTAACTCCAGCTCCGCCGGGAGCCACCTGCTTCTCCTTTCCCACCAGTCACGTTGCTGGCAGCTAAGTCCTCCAACACAGGAGAGCTTACGAGATAATTCAGTTTGGTAATAAAATGGGTGTGACTCCACTCCTATCCAGAGGTTAATCCACAGATCAAAAGAATTGGAATGATTTCTTCTTAGCAATTATACTGAAATTTTATTTTTCCTCTGTCTCCCTCACTAGCGTTTAGACTTTACTGGGCAGGGACCTCGACCTCCTTTGTGGTTGCATCCCCGGTGCCTAAGGCATAGCAAGTGCTCCATGTATTTGGGAGGGAGGGGTGAGTTTTACAACATGGAGGCTCCTAAACACCAACTGGCTTTATTTTTAAATCATTTGCAAATATGAACCGTAATGTGGTGGAAAAGCACTAGACAAAAAGAACTGGAGTTTTCATTAAAGTCCTGGCATTTTTATTAATATATGAGCTCCCGGAGCACCAGTGGCAAGACTGAGAACCAAGGGCCTGGGTTCCAGCCTCTGCTCTAACTAGCCACACCATGAACACAGTAAGTGAGCCATGCCAGCTGATTGCTGCCGCTCTGTGATGAGTCTCACTTCTTCAGCGAAGATACTTCAGGTACAGAGAGACATTATGTAATCTAAATGACATTAAGTTCTTCATATGATTAAACATAGCCACCCTTTATTTGGCGAATGCCTTTTGGGGGGGGGAATTTAAGATATCCTTTTATGAAATGATAGGTTTATTGTTTGTTTTTTAACTGCTTCTGGCCTGTGAAATTTAAGAAAACACAGCAGCCAGTGGTCTTGAAAATGGGATCCAGGCTGTCCCGTGTGTCCACGTAGATGAGATCAAAGGACTGGAAGGGACTCCACTACCACTTTGTAACTCATGTCCTTCAAAGCGCAGACAAACCTGACTAAGACAACAGTGCAAGAGGCTGATCTGTGATACCAGCTGTCATCACAGCCACTTCTGCCACCTACCTACCCAGCCAGGCTTTCCTTCTCTAGTCACAAAGCTCCTCCCTCCATGGAGCCTGGACAAGGCTGATCTCTATTCCACCACCCATGGGCAGTCGGAGGGCCCAGCCTGAAGCAGCTGGGCATATCCTGGGAAGGAGCTCTCCTCGGTGCTTTCTCCGGGGGCTACGGGAAGATGTACGGCTCTCTTCTCTGCCAGGGAAGCTGGATGACGCAGGCGAGGGTCCTGGGCTGCAGCAGCCATCAGGAGAGCACCTGCCTGAGCTTCTGAGCAATACAGAGCCCGGTGATATTACCTGGGTTCCTAGATCCAGCCAGCCCAGAGATCTGTGCCTGGCCTTTCCAAAGTCCATGGACAGGTACTAACCAACCTTAGAAAACCACAGATCTAAACTGGCGCTCAGAAAATGATGGCAGCGCTCAGAAAAACACAGAGAACTCACAAATGGCGTAGATCTGCCCTACCATGCGAAGCACCTGGGATGCGACATGGCTGACTGTCTCCTCACCCAAGCAGGTACGATTTTTGCCTTCTGGATAAACTCTGAAGGTGGGGCATTATTTTTGTATTCTATTTCCCTTCATCAGTCTTGTGTCTTTGATCAAAGATAAAATATTCTGGAGGAATAATCTCACTGTCGTCGCGGGGAATGCAAAGTGTGGGCCACGTGGTGTGCCTACGGATTTGTACACCAGAGCAGCCGCCCAAGGGTGCATTAGTCATGACCTGGCACCACCTACTGATGTGTCTTACTCCTGTCCCACCCCACCCCACCCTCCACTTCTGCCTGAACTCTCTCAAACAACCGCACTGCCTTACGTACCACTCCCTGAACATGCAAGTTCGCACACGTGCTCTTATCCTTAGAAATCTCCCCATTGAAGGATCCTGGATAAAATAATGGCTTGGCTGGTTAAATTTTAATATCGGATATACAATAAATATTTTAGTGTAAGTATGCCTCAAATATTACATGGGACATGTAGTTTTTATTTGCTAAATCTGGCACCCTACTCCCATTCCTCTCTTAAGTCGTACTATCCTTCAGGGGCCAGCCCAAACTCCAACTTCTTTATCAAGATGTCACCTTCTTTGGAAGTCCTGCAGTAACCCAGTTGCCAGCTGAATCCCAAATGCTTTGGGGATGGCTGTTCTAATATTGCAGTCAGCTATCATTCTACTCCTTCCTCGTTACTTAACATTCTCTACAGAGGCAGAGACCGGTCGGTCCCCGAGACCCAGCCCAGAGACACACACACCGAGGCGGGTGCCCCAGGATGTCTGCAGACTTCTGAGAAAGTGTGTATTCATCCTGTGATCTGAGGTCACATTATAGACCCAGAATAAAGGCAGCTTACCTCTGTAATCTAATCAATTACTGAAGACCCGCTCTGTACACTCATCCCCAACCCTACCCCCGCCCTCCTCGTCATGTCAAAAGTTTAGAACAGTGGAAGAAATCGCATTAAGTCTCAAGGATGAGTTTGCATAGCAATTTAAAAGAAAGGACAAGTCCAAACAAAGCCGAGAGTTCACTCTGGGGTGTGTGTATCACCGGCTCTGCTGCCACCCAAGCCAAGA